AAAAAAGACCCCGGCCCCGGCGGCGGTTCCCAGTGAGAGAAGCGTAGTAAGGGCGCACCGACGGCGACGGAACCTGGCCGCCGACAGACACCCTCCGACCGGCCCCGGCGCCCCGCACCCGCCAGGCCTTCACCCGTCGCGCCGAAGCACAGCGGGACGGAATGCAGCTCCTACTGTCCAAACACGTTCCCGTAAAGGGACAAACTGCTCTAAGTTTGAAAATTTCTGGTAAAAGTCATTGAAAGCTGGGGACGGATTCAGCAATACACTGAAACTTCCAGCTGCCCTCTAAAAGTCGGGCCATGCTGGCAGCTCCAGTATTGTCTATTTTGCCGTCTTTGCCAAGAACTCAGGAGGCGATTTGCACGCTGTTGCTCAACCTTTCTCAAACAAACAGTAACACTGCATCTGCCAAAATAAAGTCTACTAGAGAAAAAGCAACTGCTGCTGGGGAATAGGGGTTGAAAGGCAAGCCAAACACATTTGGACAGACATTCAGGCATGTTCAAGTTCCTCAAAAGTACACAATTACTTAGAACTGTTCGGGAAAAAAATCCAGAACCAGAAAGTCTAGCTTTCCCCTGTTCTTTAAAATATAACCAAGAAAAATTGAGTTTAACATTGCACACATTAGCTTTCTGATGCGTATCACTGAACATATAATTCTTATGTTCTATTACCTATATTCCAAAGCAACGTTCAAATGGTATTAGTTACTACTAAGTAGTGTGTGTATAAAAGTAGGTATCACAGAGGTTTAAAACTTCTCCAGAGCAAGAAATCTACCACAATTGATGTGACTGCTAGGTTATTCTCCACCCTCACTCACCTACATCAGTATCATCTGGATGAATGCTGGCATGGACTGGAATCAGAGCAGTGAATTAAATTCCTCATTCCAAGAGCATTAAAAAATACAAGAGGAAAGAGATTTGACTGAAAGTCAAAATGCTTTAGATTATTTTTGGCACGTGATGTTTTTCATTCTTTTTTAAACCTTGCACGATACATATTTTCAAACTTACGGTAGGATCTGCACCATGGCATAAAGAGCCTTGCTGTCAGCTGCAGCTGGAGATGAGACTTCTGTGGTTTATAGTTCTGAACCTAGACTTAAACCGTGACGTCTCCATAAACAGACTACTATCAGTCTAGGAAACTGTAAGAGAAAAAAAAGAAGAGCTGAGGAAAGACTCTCCATGGGGCAATAAAGCTCTTTTGTTTTAAACCTGTCTCCTGTTACCTTCATTTAGTATCTCTTAGTTGTCTGTAATGCAGGACAGACTTCAGGCAAGTGCAGACAAGGATGAAACTTTGAAGTTCTAAACATCCCTTCTGTGCCATTCAGTTCTTACAGACCTGCCCCCACTCTAAGAGGTGGTGTGTTTTTTCTTCCTGGAAAGACTCTTAGGTTACTTACATTTCTTCTACATAGCTTTACCTTCCTTGCTGTGTGAGGTCCCAGGTTCATCCTCCGGCACCTGCCACTCTGTTTATTGCTGCCCTGCTCTAAATGGCAACACCTCCAAAGCTTTCCAGTTCCACTATATTGAAAATAGAGAGGCCAAAACTGCACGCAGTAGTCAAAATCCTATTCGCCTGCTTCCTAGATGCAGTAATGGAAGAGCAGGGGGTTGGATGGGATAGTGGGGTTATTTTCCAGCTTTATATCAGGGTTCTAATATCAGCATTGGCTGGAAAAATTATAATGTAATAGTAACTAAGAATCTCCTACCACTCCAGAATGCAGCTGTGGTCATCCAGAATGCATCCTTCTATTTTGGAGAGTTCATTCACAGACAACAAAAGTCTTAGCTTTGCTGAGTGCGGGTCTTCTGCCTTGGTTATCCAGGTGTCATTTTTAGTTTAAACACAGAGAATATACTGAAGCAGTTTACTATTTATTCCTGCCAGAAAGAACATACTACATATACACACTTTACAAGACGTAGTTATGGTTACCTGTATTTGGCGTTCTCAAGTTACACAAAATAGCTCTGATACATTAACAAAAAAGTCTATTTACTTAAAAGCTGGATCTCCAATGCAAGGCTATGTATTTCACTCACAGAAAACACAGTAAGTGTCACTAACATTCTAAGCCAAAGTAGCAGATTTAGCTGCTAAAAGACACAAAAAGAACTGAGCAAAGTCTTGAATCAACCTTGAAAGTCTTACATTGATGTGTATCTGCAGAAACACCACCTATGTCATACGCACTGCACACTGCTAGCTTACTTGGACAAATGACTGAGCTCTCGCTATGGCACTTCTGCAAAATAAACAGAGAGAGAGGTCCATTCAGGATCTTTCTTCTGTTGGCACTAACTTACCAGTCAAAAATGCAAGAAACTTTGTAGTGAAAGGAGATAAAATTTACCCTGGAAACCTTTATTCTCAAATTCCCATCTCCTGTGCTATGAAGGATGGAGATTTATATTCCAGTCAAATCTTAGTAATATTACTAATACTCGAGATGCTCCAGTTGCTAATACATAGGTACATCTCTTCCAGCAGTTATTTCACTTCTAATGGCTTCAGAGCCTGTAATATATGGAGGGAAAAAAATTCCTTTAAATAGTTTACATTTTCTTATCTTTAATAAATAACCTGTTTTTTCTCCCATCCTTTCTAAAATCTCTCTCATTTCTCTCATCTCTTCATATTTTTTAAGAGCAGGAACATTTTCGGACACTATTTATTCCAACAAACTGTTTTGCATGTGTGGCTTAGGACCACCCCTGTCAGTTGCTTTTAAAGATTACTGGTAAGGTACTCATTTGGTATGTGCTAGTTCTGGCATTTCAACAAACAGGAACAGCTTAGTAATAATTGTATATATTAGAATGAAGATTTCTTTGCATAATCTCTTCTCAAATGCATAAAGCTCTACAAATCTATTCAGCCAAATGGCGCCTGAGCCTTCCTTCACATCCTGTAAGAAAGAAATGGGGCTTATGGTGCATGACCTCCTCTAATCTGCTTTGAAGTTACTTCTGATTAATGCCTTTACAGAACAGCAGACCTCTCCAAGAGAGGCAGGAACTGTCTTTTCTCATCAATATGACCTCATACTGTTTCTTGCATGACTATGCCTAACCCAAATGCATTCTCACAGGCAAAACATTAGAAGAGTTAATCCAGGCATTACATCATCATAAAATCAACAGGCAACTTCCCCGAAAAAATTGTCTTTATTTCAAAAGAAATTGAAACCAGACAACAGAAAGCAACAGTTACATACAGTGCTGGACAAAATCTACCATATACATTTTCCAAGAACGCCTTAATCAGATTCTGATATGTTCTTCTGAAAAGTAAAGTATCACATCATTATTAACAAAAAAATTAAATGTCAACAATCTTAATCAGCTTATATTTTGCACTGTTTGGATGGCAGTAGATTGGTAACTTGCCTCTTTCAACTTATCTTTAACACTGAAAGGAGAACATGGACAAAAAAAATTCCAAGTCAGAAGGCCCTAAAGAACACAGTGTCTGCTCTAAAGGCCATATACAAAAGCTTGGAGGAAAGACTTTTCAGTACAAATCCCTTCACAACTCCATATTATTTCACATTTCAGAAAAAACTATCAAGAAAGGAAAAAAAAAAAAAAGGGGGAAAGAAGATATTAAAAGCTTGCCCTCCTTAAGTCATATGGAAGTTGAGATTTAGACCATTCTTTAGAAGATGAGTGTCCAGGAATAAAGACATCATCTCTCATGACTCCAATTCCAAACTGTCTCCAGTATAGCAATTCCTGAACAACAGTGCACTAACATCCAAGTAAAAAGGTGGGGTTAGATCAAAAATTATTTTCAGACCGACAGTCTGTTTGAACATGAAAAGGAAAACTAATCCTGTATGGAAACCAATACAAAAACAGGTACTCCCTACAATGTTGGGATAAGCCATTTTTGAACCAGGAAACTAAGGACAACGTTGAATACTTCAACCTATAGGCAGCACCTCTAATGGGCAGAACACCATTCTTAGACCACTAATTACCTCAGAACCGATGACACACAACACTAGGGCACTAAAGGGACCCTTTATTTCCGTATAAAGCATAAGCCAACAAGAAATCAGAGGAGTTCCATACAAAGAAGTGAATGTGCACAACTCAAGATACAGTGTAGGATAGTTATATTGCCTTAAGAGTTCTGCTAAGTACACTTAATTTTCCAATTTTAAGGAAGAGTCTATTCTAATATAGAAAGCTTCAGACAGAACTTAGTAATTGCAGAATAAGTTTAAAATACATCCAGTTCTACATCCTCCTGCATATATCTAATCACATCCAATAGATAAAAAAATTACACGTTTTGTAAACCAAGTAAAGAGTGTTAGAATAGAATTTTCACATCCATGAGCTTATTACCAAATGTTCACCCATTTGTCAGTGGATAATATTAAGAAATTCATACTAACAGTTATGGCAACACGATGACAATGCACATAAGTGCTGCATGTTCTGAAAGGTAGTCAGTTTTAATTACCATGAATTGCTACCATCTGTCATACCTCATTCTATGCAAGATACCATGCCAGCTACCAATCCATAAACAATAATGTTTCACATACTTCATAGAGTAGCTTAAAACACATCGTGATATGCAGTAATTTGTATTACATAGTAATTTAATCCCTGGCCACAGGGTTAATGTTGGACAAAGTCTGGAAACTTTTTTCCAATTTGAATTACATACATTAACTTTGCCACACACCACAGCACTAATGCATGTGTTACTTCAGACATGCTCTAATTTAAAATCAAAACAAAAAAGTTGTTGCAAAAATACATGTCACCAATGTGGAACACATTCAAAATTGTATAAAAAGTACTGAACTGATATCCCAAAACAGGTATATTTAAGCAGTACATAAGGAAAGATTAGTTTTAATATGAAACAGTCATTTAAGTCACATACAACATGAAAAGAAGCATGACTTCCTTTTTTAAAAATGTTACACCAATACTTTTACTGCCAGGCAATGTTTATTTATAAAATGAAAGGGATATATTTAATGCAGATGTGTTATCATATTAAGCTGGAATAAAGGCAAATGTTAAAAAGGTGCTACATTTGAACACCATGGATTTTATAAAAATCTCAAACCATCAAAAGCATTTCACTTGCAAACATCACAGGCCCCAAACTGCAAACACTTTGAAATGTTCTTGACTGTGTGCATGCGGTTCCACTGACTTCGATAAGTCTCACATGCTTGCAGTTAAGCCTGAAAAATGGGATTACAAAACTGGTTCTTAGATGAAAATTCAGAGGTCACAGAGTATATTCTGCTTTGAACAGCCTCTAAAATTATATTTTTGTTTTAAATAGAGCAAATTTTATTACTCTCCTCTAGTCTCTTTCATCTGAATATCTCAAATAATAACTATGCCTCTAAACACCCTCAGGAAGAAGCGTTAGTCCGGTCTTCTGAAAGGAGAGATTGTTAAGCAGTTAGCCTGCTTGGCTCGAGTTTTAGAAGGGATCAGTAAACCAGCCAAAAACAGGATTTTTGATACCTACCCTCTAGCCTACATGCAGCACTGTCACTTGCCCTGACACCAATAAAACAAGTATTTTAAAGAGCAAATTACACATTTCCTCATTTAAAACTGGTGTCTGGCAAAAAAACCTAAGTATTAAGGACGGTTCGATCCAGTTTATACCTATTTATTTCAGCCAGAGTGGCGGGGAAAGAACATATCGGGTAATACAGGCTGCATTTCTGACCATGACAAGGAGCTATTTAAAAAAGACACAGGCATTTCCCACAAAAATGTTAAGGTTTGTAAGATTTACAAAATCTTTGCAGTATTTTTGGTGTGCAGCACCAGTACAGTCTAAATCACTAGTAATGAAAGAAGCACATGATAGTTCAATACAAATTGTTTCATGTAGAGTACTACAAAAAACCTCACCTACTCTAATCAACCCTCCCTCCCACCCACCCTTCTATAATTTATTTCTAACTCTAATCAGCTGACATTTTCTAAGTACCTTACTAACAAAACATGATTGTTGTTTTTCCTGTGCATACTTGAACTACTACTAGTCAATACATGCAGAGAAAAACAAAGTATAACCCTCTCTCTAGATCAAGAGTCCAGGTATGCCAAAAGCGGATCAGCAGGGCAAGCTTATTGGCTGGATGACTTTGTAGATCCTGATCAGTCATATCTCTTATGATCCGTGTGATCAAAGGTTTGGTTTTGTTGTTCATTTGTTTTTATATAATTGGCATCTGCTAATGCCTTGAATTTGTAGGCTAATACACGCAGAACATTTACTGGGTTACAAACCCAACACAGTACTAGTTCAGAAAAACTGAATTAAATTGTTAGAAAAAGTTTCACAAATACACAATTTAAGGCCTTACAAAACGATACTCCAGTTGGTTTTAATTTTGCAAGAACAGTATCTTTCAATTTGAATGTCTTGCCAGCTAATACAGAAAACACTTGCCTAACTTAATGTAGAGTTGAGGAAGAGATTAAGAAATACATGGCTATTTCAAATACAATGTCTGCTCCAAAATGTTAAAACATTAATCGGACTTCTGAGAACAAATGCCCTGAACATCTTCTCCCAAGAGGAATGGGGTGTGGGAAAGGTATTGTGAACAGCACATTTAGGTAACAGTATCATCATTGGAGCTTTTGTTGCATTTTTACTGAGCAAATTTTTTATTTCATTGACATTGTTCTAAGTCTGAACCAGCTCCACTAACTTCACAGTGCAAATTGCTGCAGAGATTAAATTGATTCCCAGAGGAACAAATCCATCTAAACAAGGTTTGGTTTAATTTCTACTTTAGATATCAAAAGCAAATTCTAACAGTCAGTCAGTCATTAGGAAAACTACTGAAGAATAAATTTCTTTAACAGAGTTTGTTGCTTGGTTGTTTTCTGTTGTTTGTTTTTAAATATCACAGCTCTAACAAAACAAGATTAAGTTTAGTCTCTGTACTAAATAAAGCAAATGGTGATGAAAACAAAAGCGCTGGATCTGCCTTACTTTCTTTACATCTCCATACAGGAAATCCTCAAGATGTGAAGGGTGTCATTTACACTTCAGACATTATTTTCTTTTTCCTGATGAGAGGCAAGGCAAAAAAGGAGGGCAATACTGCACTTCTCCAGTAAAAGAGTATATAAAACTTATCAGCTTTAAAATAAAACAAGGACAATTCTGTAGATCTGCACAGCATCTTCCAGGAAGGTACCACAGTAGAGCCCATTTAAAATCAAAGACAACAGTGAACTAGCAAACAGGCCTTACTTTTCACTCTTTAGCACAGCTTACCTCTTCATCCAGATGATTGTGTTCTGTATGGGCTCCTACATCGTTCATCACCACAGACCTGAACACTTTATCACATTAAAGAACATAAGCAGTACCTGTAATGCTTGACATATGATTTAATTGCTGATTGTTTAAAAACTAGTAGTTTCCAGTACAGTGGTATTACAAGCAGAGTCTGTTGTTACAGTGCCACCTTTTATTAAGTTAAAACAACACATGTCTCTACAGAAATGCGCATTTTCAGTTGCATAGGCAACTTTATCACATTGCTAAGGCTGAAGTCTTCAAGGCTACGTGTTTCCCCACATAAAGGAGGGGATTATTTTGGGGATCAAGAATAAGACCAAATTACCCACATTAAAATAGAATTCTTAGCATCACACATGAGGCTCTAGTGCCATTCACACTTGTCAGCAGGATATCAAGTTTAGCAAAGAAGCTAAAGTTCCGATTACTCACTCGTGATGCGAGCTAAACTCACCTGATGTAAAAGCTGTATTTTTCTTCACCCTAGATTTCCCACCTCCTCACTGCATAACTGGCTGAGGCAGTGGTGGGAGTTCAGTTTTAAGACTTTGCTGGCCAAATTATGTTGCAGTTCAGAGCCTGTGCTGAGCACACTCCATTGCCTTGCCGCCTCCTTCACGCCAAGTGGACTGTGTAAGCTCAAGATGACCGAGCAGGCTCTAGCTGAAAGCTCTAGGGTGGGAAAGGGTGGGACTTTCCCTGCACTAGTTCATTCACAATCCTCAGGCAACACTGAGGCAGGAGACTAGAACCATCAATGGGAAAGGATGAGAGAGAGAAGCATGATCACACAACCGTGACAGATGCAGAGACTGTATCCTAATGTATGTGCTTAAGATAGATGAATTAAGGTTACATATGCAACCCTAGTTTTGGTATTCGCTAGATTTAAAGCACTGGACTTGATAAATGTGATGTGTTGTTTTCCCAATGTAATCGTATTTTCTAACTATTTCCAAATAGTGCAAGACCTAGCAAGAGTCCCCAGCAAGTATTTGCTGAGAAGTCAAAATAGATCATTGCCTTTTCAGGGAAATATAAATGTGTACGAGTTAGCATGTTTCACTGTGTTACTAAACATGAAGTCACAGATTTTTGAATAGTGTGTTAATGCTTTACTTCAAAAACAGGAAAAAGCACATATGAAATCCTCTGTATTTATCCTAAAGGAAAAACTATTAGTACTGCACATTCGTCCATGTCATCTCCACTATATTCAAAAAAAGGATAGCAAGAACATCGTAATGGACATTCACCCCCTCCCCCCTCAAAAAAAGGTAATGAGTACCTGCAAATATAGTACCATTAAAACCAAGCACTAAATGCTAGTGTTGGTTAACACGTTAACACTAGCAAATTAGGGACTATTCATACAGGCACATTTTTGCCTTCAATAAAATTGTCAATGCACATCCTACTTCTGATCAGCTGTCAGTTATGTTTTACAGTTTAATCAGAAACAAAAAGTATTCCATCCTGTAAAACATTTGCACACATAAAACTAGGAATACAAAAGCTGAGATGGAAGTTTACGAATGAAAACAGATTAGGGCAAAAAAGATGACTGCACTCAAACACAACTGATTGTCTGCAGAAAGTGAAGTACCCAATTTGTAACCAAATCTTCATAGCACTTATTTCAGCCACTACCACCAATTCACGTTAGCCATCCGTATTCAATGGAGGCGGTCCTGCAGTCTCTCTTGTACGCATTAACTGGACATCTTTGTCAGCCATGCAAGTATCACAACCCCATACTGCTGATGCTTCTGCTGTAAGAAGGCCATAAGCTGACTCAGTCATGCCTGTACAGATCCGATGAAACCATTTTTGACAAGAGGCTTCACACAGGATGGCATCCTGGTCATCATTAACTTCATGTGTACAAATTCCACACGGATAGACGGGTTCAGAGGACGAGTGACCGTGACGACTGGGATGAAGGGGTGTTTTGCTGCTCTTCTCAGAGTTGCATCCTTCAACAGTACCTCGAGGCTGGCGAGACTTACTCTGAGTTCCATTTGAATGACCAGCAGTAGTGTTATCAGCACTATTAGAATGGCTATTATCCTGATTTACCACATTGTTTCGAGTAACATTTTTTAGGTCACTGTTACCTTGACTCACAATGTCCTCTGTCCTGTGATGATGCTGATGTGCAGCAGTGTTCTGGCTGGATGCTTTGCTTGCACCTTGACTAAACTCTTGCTTTTGTGCTGACGATTTTGTCTGGTTGTACGTGCTTGGTGGAGGAACAAAAGAATGGTTTGACTCTAGCTGAGAATTTGGGAAGTTTGGATTGTTTCCAGGACCAAAGTTAGATGGCACGTCAGGGTGAGGTATCTGACCAGAATGGCCAAAGTTCTCACCAGGGTTTGGTCTGAAATGCTGACCAGGCATACTGACATTTTGATTTATCTGACCACTACTATAAGGTGGTTGATTCCCAAAACCTGGGTTATCATGTGGACCAAAGCTGAAAGAGTGGGGTCGACTAAAACCCATTCCCACAGGGTTTTGAGGAAGCGGATGCGGTTGGTTTCTGAGGGAGTAAGAACCACCATATGGCGAGGACACTCTGGGCAGCATGTGAGGTGGCATTCTGAAAGTGTTATAGCCTCCAAAGCCAGGATACCCAGGATTACTAAAATACGGATTTCCTGAAGGAAGTGGTTTGTAGGACACAGTATTATAGTTGTCATCAAATGGATTTGCAGCTACAAGGTGGTCAGAGCTTGGATTCGGAGGTGGAGCATATTCAGATGGAGGAGGAAATGATGACCCCTAAAAATATTTTAAATACAACATTTAAATTAGTTTTAGTATTTCCCTGCAAGACAGACCAACCACAAAGGTCCTGGATTAGCAGTACTACTGCTAAAAGAACTGTTCAGCTGTTGTGTAAAGTTCACCCACTGTACCCTGCCAGGCTGTCTGAAATTTCAGTACAGAGGCAAAAGAGGAGTTTGGGCTCCAGACAGCATGGTGATTTATAGTAATCTCAGTGTTTTAAAAATTGTGCAGTTGCACAACCATGCATCCACACTTGATGTGTGACTTCTTAATTTTCTACATACGAAAAGCAACAATACGGAAAGCCATGTGTCACTTAAACACATGCACAAAGTATTTCCAAATGTTGACGAGCAGATCTGAAGCATTTCCTTAGTTTCATTTTGGGTTCATTTTACTGAATATACATCTCTTAAGACACTGCACTTCCATGAGGATATACAAACCTAATGTTACCATAACCCTAAAAAAGGTATATAGAATATAGGAGCCTGCAGGCAGGAATTCTCTATATTTTGTGTACCAAACAGAGGTGTCCCTTCTGACCATTCAGTGATTGTGGACAGTCTGCAAAGCATAATCAGTAGGTATAAAATACAAGGATTTCTGGTTACAGAGCATAATCAAGTGTTTAATGGAGCCCAGAGGCTGTTTAAATGTCATCAGAGTGGCTACACAATTGAATTTCATTCTAGACTAGCCTGTGGGGAACATCTAGCTAGTTCACCCTCACGCTAACTGTGCTCACAGAAAGCATTTCCTCCTAAATACTAATAAATTCAGACTGAACTTTTTTTTTTTTTCCCCCAAAAAAAATTCTGCTGCGCTGTTAGGAAACTAATCTTCACGCCCTCTACAGTTATCACCATTCCAGAACACAAGGAAAGCTCCAGAGAAAGAGGTCTGAAACCCTTAAATTAACTGAGTATTTCTCAGAGCAAGTTTCACCATGACTACTTTGAAACAAAACAAAAATTAAGAAAACAGATCCACATCTCAATGGAATCTCGACAGGCCTAACAGAAAGTGATTGTTTGACCTACATAAATAAAATTACTTTCACTGAACAGTACCAAATTAACAGATACTCTCGCTCCAAGCTGAATGAGCCCACAAACTAAAATTCTGCACTACAGATATCTAATTGCTTTAGTTGTTTTGTATTCAAGCTTCCTTTTCTGGAAACAGAAACTGTATACAAATGCCAAATTGCAGGGATTCACTGGAAAGGAGCCGAACCTGCCTCACAGCTTCTGCTTGAAAATCACTTGGGGAATATGCCAAGAGTTTGGTCAAAGCATTAATAAACCGTACTGGTCCATTAGCCCACAAACCTACACATCTAGGAATAAAAGTAAGGAAAGTAGTCTCATGGCAACTATTCATGCTGTACAGATTTCTACCATTGGCTACAAAGTCATTAAAAGAAAGTCTGTCTCGGAATCAAATCCATATGGTAAAATACAGGTTGTTGCAGTCTCACTGCACTCCTCTCTTTATAAGTCTTTGGCAACCTACAGATATTAAAATAACTTCAGTGAGAATAACTAGTATTATGAAGATTTCAACTTCACAGTACAAGTGAAATATTTTGTATGCAACTGCTATTTGTGAGAACAGACTGATATTCTGAACAATGTGAGACAGTCATACCAGCAAACAACATCTGAGCACACTATTTATTAAGAAATCAAAAGAACCAAAGGGAATTTACCTGTGTATTTGCTTTGCGCTTTTTCTTATCAGGGCTTCCAAGTTGTACTCCTGGTCCTCCTAACCCATCCAATCCACTGTCACCACCTACAAAATTTCAATCAGTGCAATGCTCCATTAGTTTTCTTACAGACTGTATTTTAAGTTTGCCTCTGTCTGTCATAGTAACAGACATCTGTTGCAAATACTGAACTTGCATTAATTCTGGTGCCTGACATTACAAGTCCTTAAGGAGCAAACATCTGGAGTTAAAAGTCAGCGTATCTCGTATACAGCTATCTTACTCTATTACCACTTTAATGTCCAATTCATGCTCATTACAGTTGGAATAAACATTTCCATGTATTTTATGTTTATCTGTCCCTCGGTTCTTAACATCTCCACTTCACCAGCTCGAAGCATTTCTTGTTTGCATAATACATAAAACTTTCAAAAGAACTGCTTAAAACCATGCCTACGATTCCCCTATTTAACTTACACAGACACAGCATTTATCAAACTCACCGTACCAATACACAAGTGTGTGTTACAAGATGCCATGAAGGAAAAAGCAAACAGTATTAGATCCATGAATGAGAACCACGGAAAACCTGCCATGTTATTTAGGCACATCTCCAGTTTATCAGATCTCAATTTCACTACATGCAAGACTCCATCAAACAAAAAGACACCTGCCAAAAATGAGAGGAGCTCTAAGTGAACCTACCCTACCCTGCAGAAACCTCACAGAATAATTAAGCACAGCTGCTCTGGCACAAAAATAAGTTAATTTTATTGATCACTCAGACTTGACTCTCAGCAACACAAAGAGATATCTGTACTTCACCCAGGATTCTTCACCTTTCGTAACAGTCAGACAAGCTTTCAGTTGTACAGATCGTGGCTTTCATTCTTAAAAGTCTAGTTAGACCATAGACAAAAAAAAGATTCTAGCACATTCCTTATTACGCCAGTCTGTCTGCTTTCATGGTGCTCAAGTGGATTTGCCATCACAAGGGAATGCAAAGAAAACCCTGAGCTGAAGTATGAAAAATCACTTTCAGATGATACGAGAGCAACACGTTAAGATACTCACATCACCACATTAAGAAACTGTGTGTCACTTAATTTTCTCAGGCCCATTAAGGTAATAGCTTATTTGCTCTTTTAAAATAGATATAGTAACAGTATAGAGCAGTAAGAAGTGGGCAATCCAACCTAAAAATTTTACTGTTGTTTGTTTAAAACTCATATTCAGAATACAAGTCAAACTCTATCAAGGTGCAAGAATACAGCTGAACACACGGGTTAGTTTTTGTTACCAAAGGCAACCTGAACATAACTACAAATTATCAATAGTGTTATGCAAAGAAGCATTATGTATGACATTACCCCACTCTATGTTAGACAAGTATTCCCAGCAGACACCTAAACCACCTTTAGGACTAATTCAGTAAAGTAACACTGAATCTCTTCTCACAGGGAAGTAGCAGACCTACGGTGTACAAACAAAAAATATCCAACAGCTATTTCAAATACTCCTGATCAAAGCAGGCCTGAAAAAATTCCACTCCTAGCACTTCCTTCCTCTCCCACTCCCCTTTTCGAAGTTTCAGTGAATTTACCAGTTCTACCTCAAATAAGAATCCAGTTCTGCCTCTGCTTCGATAAGTTCCTTTTGACTTTGCTGTCACTGTTGAAATTTAATTTCATTTTCATTATACATAAGGAAGATACATGGACATCCCAAATCATCACCTATCAAATTGTAGGTATAAATTTCAAAGCCTAGCGCACAAAGTCACAATCATGTTCTCAAAATAAACTCATGCTTCAGCACAGCACATCCCAGTATAATCCACCAACAGACTAACTAGGGATTATTCTTTAAAAAAAAAAAAAAAGTCTTTTTTGCCTTCATTTAGAATGTAAAATCCTGCATATACTTTGTGTGCTCTGAAGACTGCCACTGCATGAGCTGCAGATACTAAATGATCACAGCATGAAGTTTTACATAAAGTATGACGACAATCTCCCTTAAATCCAACTCTATAAATCATCTTCTTGATAAACTATTTGCTGAAAATGGTCCCTGCACTTTCCATTAGCTTCTTCTCCAGCATTCCTGTGTATTTTTCATAAATTCAGTGGGAGATTGTACTGTGAACACCATTCCTCACAACTACATAAAATACACTCTTGTTCATGGTCCTGTGCTCTTAATACATAAACAACATTAACCACTGATAGCAAAATATTACAAATACCCAGATTTCTTTTAATAAATTCAACTACTAGCAGCACAGACATTAGTAAATCTGTGATCAAGTAGAATACTGAGGATCATATGCAAATGCTGTTTTACAGTAGCAGAAGTCATAACTTCATAAAACTATGCATAAATTCCCTCTCTGGGATCTCATTCTTCAAAAATATAAGCATATGAATATTAGAATTCCAGTGATAAGTTCCACCAGTTTCTACATGAATTACTTACACGGGTGACGCCATTCATCTGCCTAGGTTTGCAGGACTGAGTCCTCTGCCTGGAAAGGTACAAAGCTTTTGCATTTTCAGTTCTTGCTGTGTGAGGCCAATGATTTAGTTTAGCCCTATGAGTTTACATTTTCCCTGTGGATTTCATAATGATTTAATTTATACATGAAAGGAAGCAGAATGTTAGTCCTAGCATACCTCCAAAAAAGAGTGAATAAGGGTTATTTTCGTGCAGCCAAAATAAACTTGCCAGAAAGTCCCTTTTGGTACCTACCGCACAGACTTTCATTAAAAGGTGTACCGAGCATTTTGGAACATTCCATTAAGGTCGCAAAAAATTATTTCACCATCTGAGACTAGTTTTCCAGCACAAAATACAATCTTTTGCCTGGGACATCATATATGTAATGGATCTAGGGATATAAATATATATCTGATAACTAGTCCCTTATCAAATAACAGATAAAACGTATTTCAGCCATTTACATTTGGGAAAAGGAGAAGAGATATGTCCTATATTCTTTTTTACTTCATACACACACAAGATAGACATTTTCAGTGTTAGGAAAACTGAAACTTGTAGTTGCACGTTAAGAGATTATGATTTTGCATGTAATTTATGTCATACTTAACACCCTGCCAATACACTGTGGAGTATTTTCACACTCACTAACAAATCTCTGCCTAGGTTTTTACAGGATAGATGCCAGAGTCTTTTTAAACAGTGCTTTATCTCAGTAAGAACGTTTTCCCAAGAAATATAAATGGCCGAATAAACTTTTTGTAATAGACAGAAAACTAAAAAGAGTCTAATTTCAACCAGATTTGGTGAGCCTATTCTGTGGCCCTGAGACTGTAAACAGCTTTGATATTAAGCAGCAATCACAGGGAACTCGGTGGGTAACTCAAGCACGTGAAACTGCATGTGCTCAAATATCTGCACAATCAGGGCTTGAGAGTGCAGGAGTCGAATTAATCCCTGTCTTCTTTGTAACGGTGCTGCATATTTTCATTCTCTCATTCTCAAGGTTGCAATCCAGCTGTTACTGGAACAGTTTTGGAAAAGCAAACCGTAAATCATCGACAATGTGCACAGCAGAATCCACACCTTTCCCCACTTACCCAACCACAAAAAAAAAAAAAAAAGCTTAAAACATCAAGAACAATAGAATTCCAGGGGCAAAAGAGGAGGTGAGGAAAAGAGAAGCAATAAATTGCAGATCTTATCATTGTGCCGTGACTTTCACCCAATTCAGCCACCCTGCTGCCTTTCATTATTTCATTCAGAAACGCGTTTCTGTTTTAAGGACTCTAAGGACACAAGTACCGCTGCGCAGACTGGTGTGCTACTGCCATTAAAGTCAGTCGCGCAGCCGAAGTCGGAAGAGACAGGGTACGTCTACCCTTCTCCTTACACATTTCAAAGGAAAGCATACTTCAGACCTCACCAGAGCCATGCATCAGCGCTATCAATACAGATTAATATTTCGAGAGGTTCTGCATTTCCCGAAACGAGAAGAGCAAAACCCCAGCTGGAACCAAGCACGAGAGCACAGGCGGGGAGAGAAGAGCAAGCACTCCAGCGTAATTTATGGGCTCTGCATCAGCACTAACCCGGGCATGTGGCACTGCCGACGTCTTCCCTTGCACCAGCAGCACGCACGCCGCATACTAATGGGCAGCGGATCCAGAAAAACACCGGAGGCACAACCGCGCACCCGCACGCCTCCGCCCGCGGGTC